GTTAAACAGAGGGTGGAGGCAGGAAAGGTCCCGGTGGCTGAGCCGCCTCCCCCCACCTCTTACCAAACCATACACAAGTGGATTTGGTCCTTGAAGCACACACCCTCTCCGCAGGTGCGGTGGGCTCCATCTCAAGGTCAGAGAGGGGACAGTGGCCAAGGCCATCTGGAAAGTGCCGTGGCAAGGGTTCAAACCCTGTCGGCCTGACTGCAAAGGCCCTGTCGCCCAGCGTGGGACCGAGCAAGCAGCGCCGTCCAGAGATCCCGGTCCTTGGCCCCCCGCACAGGCTTGGCATGGAACACATGCTGGCTACGCAGTCAGCCTCCCTCCTTGTCCTCCTTCCGCCATCATGTGACCTTGGCCCCACTGTTCTCTCTTTCCAGGCCTCAGTTTCCCCATCTGCTGGGGGAGGGGGTTGTCCTAGGGGTGCCCTGGCTCCCCTGGAAGCCTCCAGTATCTTAGATTTCCACTGGGGAAGCCAGGAAGGGCAGGTAGGGCCCCCTGGGGCTGGAGCAAATTTGGGGTCCAGGGCTGTTTTCTGGGGTGAAAGCTTGGAGCTCGAGGAGAGCCCCCGCGGACGGCCCCCAACTTCCCCAAGCCAGCAGCCCCCCTTAACCTTCCTCCCTCTGCCACCCAGAGCACCGCTGGACCAGACTCGGGCCCCCACCCTGGAATCGTCCGACACCCCGACCCTGGTGGGGGCAGGCCCCCACCGGGCCGGCCGGAGCCCCCAGCACCTTGAAAAGCCTCCGGCCTCCCCCGCCAAAGCCCGACCGGCGAGCTGCGCAGAGAACGAGGGGGAGCGCCGGCGAGCGCGCAGCGAGAGTGGGGGAGAAATGCAAATGCTTTTTATCCTCCTTTCTTTTAAATGCTGAAACCAGCCTTGACAGCCTCTGAAAATAAATGGCACCGACTCGCTGGGATTTCAAATTCCGTGATTAAGGGCTGAAGCAAATACTTTTTCCCTCCCTCCCCCGCCGCCCTCCCTCCGTGGGCTGATAGAGCGGCGGCGGGCCGGGGACAGCTTTTTGCGAGCCTGCCAGGAGCTCTGATACGCAGCCTCCCGCCCGGCTGCGCGGCGGCTCGGCTCCGGGCTGTTTATCAGGAGCGCTCACGCCGGCAGCCGCGAAAGCAGCTTTAAATCCCTTGCCCGGCCTCGGCGCCCCCTCCTCCCGCCGGCACGCACGCCGCGGTCAGGCACGCGCGCGCGCGCACACACACACACACACACGCACAACACAAGGCACACGCATGCACGTGTGCACCCAACGCACACTGCACAATGCACAGACGCACGCGTGCACACACCCACACAAAAACATGCATGGGCGCACACATACGTGTGCACACTGACACATATGCACACACGTGAACACCCGGTCCTGGTGAGTGTCTGTCTGTTCTCCAATGGAAGGAGGAAGTCAGGGAAGGCTGCAAAGTTGGGGGGATAAGAGGAAGGAGAGGAGGGGGCCAGGAAGAGAGGCTCTTCTGAGTTCACAGTCTACATGGGCTGCTTTCAGGCAGCCTAGTGTGGGGGGGTCTTTGAGGCAGCAGCAGCTGTGTCCTCCCTCCTTCCTCCCCACAGGCCTCAGTGCAGTCCCCACACCCCCTATAGTGATTCCGAGGTGCCTCAGTCTCCCTCCTTCCCTTCTGGCTCAGCACTCTCTGCTGGGGGAACACACAGTTCAGAGTTATGCCTTTTTAGGGCTTGGATTCCCCATCTGGAAGACCTCCAGGCAGGATGCCCCGCCCCTCCTTGAACCTCACCTGTGAGGAGCCCACTCAACCAGGGTCACACAGCTAGAAAGAGGGACGGTCAGGATCCTCGCTCTGGGGGCTCTGGGGGGAAGAAGTAGGACCTGACAACCTTCCTCTGATTCTGCAAGAACCACCTTTGCTCAGACAACCCTCTGAGTGCCCCCTCTCTCCCCTCTGCTGGGCTCCCTCTGCTGTCTAGCGGCAGCTGACAGATGGGTGATAACAGGTACGCCCAGGTACCTGCTAGAGGTGGCTCCACTCCCGTTTAAACTCAACGCATGGAACTCCGACAGCGGGTGAGAGGTGTGGATGCAAGACCAGCAGAGGTGCCTGCTGGCTACGTTACACAAACTGCCCAGCAAAGGGGAAGGTGGGCACATCCTTCCTGGGCAACCTCTGGAGAGGCACGGATGGAGACCTTCAGACACATACGTCGAGGTTCGGCAGCGATGGGGCAAGGGTGTGGGGGTGGGGGCATGTAGGCCATAGGAATGCCGTGGTCTCCAGCCAGCTCTGCAAACACGGGGTACCCCCCCATCACTTCCCCTCCACATGTGCCCTGAAGCCTGCACCTGCCCAGAGATAGCCACCTGCAGGAGACAGGCAGGGGAGGCTGGAGTTTGCAGAAAGCCACAGGGACAATGATGACGCTGGTTGTGTGCCAGGCTCGGTTCTGCTGTGGACATGCAGGCCTCGAGGAGTCCTCACTGTGACCACACCCACTTTACAGGTGAGAAAAAAGTGAGGCTCAGAGAGGGCAAGTGACTGGCCCAAGGTCTCCTAGCTGGGAAGAGATGGAGTGAGGATTCAACCCTCCCGCCATTTACCCCATTCTGTCTCCAAAAGGCTGAGCTGTGGCAGGAGCCTCATTTGTTCTTTATGTGAAAATGATGAGGCTGGAGTGTATGTAAGTGCTGATATGTAACCACTTTGGTCTGTCAGAACGCCAGTGTTGTGCAGCCTAACCTGAGAGCAGCACTCTCTGCACAGTGGTTCAGTTCAGCAGTTTCCGTTCTGACGCTGAGACTCGGACGGCCGCGTTGCCAGATTGAAGAAATAAAAATACAGGACACCGAGGCTGGGCGCGGTGGCTCCATGCCTGTAATCCCAGCACTTTGGGAGGCCAAGGCGGGCGGATCACGAAGTCAAGAGATAGAACCCAACCTGGCCGACATGGTGAAACCCCGTCTCTACAAAAAATACAAAAAGTATCTGGGTGTGGTGGCGTGTGCCTGTAATCCCAACCACTCAGGAGGCTGAGGCAGGAGAATCACTTGAACCTGGGAGGCGGACGTTGCAGTGAGCTGAAATCACGCCACTGCACTCCAGCCTGGGCGACAGAGCAAGACTCTGTCCCCCCACAAAAAAAAGAAACCCCCAAAAACCAAACGACGACGACAAAAAAACAGGACACTCAATTAAATGTGCATTTCTAATAAACAGCCAGTGACATTTTAGTTGAAGTACGGTATGTCCCATGCAAACATTTACAGTACAAACTTATTCACGGTGTATCTGAAACTCACATTTAATTGGGTGTCCTCTATTTTATCCGGTGACTCTATCTGGGGGTCTTCCTTTGAAGACAGACTTCGAAACCGGGTGCTTTTGGATCCAGAAACCCAACAATAGGTGGGAAGCAACATTGGTATCGCTGACATCAGGCCTAGTCCAGAGAGATGGAGCCCAGGCTTGGAGGCTGAACCGGCCTCCCCCTATTCCTGCGTCAGGAACTGAGCACTGAGGACCACAGTAAGTCATGGGCGCCCATGATTCCACACACAGACTTGAGGATGGGATGAAATGAATCAGCCCATGATGGACAGCTGGGAGATGCTGGGGTGGGTGAGAGATGCTACTGACTCTGAAGGTTGCCACCGTTAGAACACAGCTGAGACTTTCCAGTAAACTGTCTGCACAGTCTCTCAAACATGCATTCCAACCCCCTTTCCTCTGGCCTTCCTCTATCATAGAATGCAGAAAATTAAAATACTCAATTTCCCAGCTTCCTTTGCAGTTGGTGGTGGGCATGTGACCCAGCTCTGGCCAATGAGGTGAAGGCAGATGATCCCAAGGATAGTTTCCCTTCCTGAATTAAAAAGGCAAAGATTCCAAGAAAAATATACTTGCCTGGAATGTGGACGTGATGGCTAGAGGTGAAGCAGCCATCTTATGACTGTGAGGACAATAGCCAGACACCAAGGCTGCCAGGAGGAAGCCAGGGATACCTGGATCTTTGGAAACTCTTGTATCAAGGCTGTTACAGCCCCAGACCGTCTCCCTCGACACATTTCACACACAGAAAGAAACTTCATTTGTTTAAACCATGCTTGGTGGAGTTTTCTGTTGTCTGTAGCCTAATGCACATCCTGGGAGATTCATTAATACTGGGGCCTAAGGGAGGATCCCAGACCCTACAGACCACAGTTTGGACATGGGTGAAAATTCATTGTTTTGTATAAAGTGTTTGCCAGGCACGGATGGCTACAGTGACCCTGGGACAGATGATCCCAAGTGCTCCATTAGGACTTTAGTGCCTGGTGCTTGGCTGTGGCAAGCCTTTCTCAGGCCTCCAGTATGCGACACGGTGTGTGGTGGTCACCAGATGTGCTTTTTGGGAGAGGATGTTCCTTTATTCTAAGATTATGTTCTCCATACTTTTTGGGCTTTAAAATGAAATTTATTTCATGAAATGATGTGACAGTTGATGGTGAGATTTTTTTTTTTCTTTCCTTTTTTGAGACAGGGTCTTGCTCTGTTGACCAGGCTACACTTCAGTGGTGTGATCACTGCTCACTGCAGCCTCGACTTCCTGGGCTCAAGCGATCCTCCCACTTTAGCCTCCTGAGTAGCTGGGACTATAGACGTGTGCCTCATGCCCAACTAATCTTATTTTTTGTAAACATGAGTCTCACTATGTTACCCTGGTGGTTCTCAAACTCCTGGGCTCAAGTGGTCCCCTGCCCTCAGCCTCTCAAAGTGTTGGGTTTATAGGCATGAGCCACTGTACCTGGTGATGGTGAGGATTTTTTTTTTTTTTTCAAGACAGGGTCTCATTCTGTCACCCAGGCTGGAGTGCAGTGGCCCAGTCTTGACTCACTGCAACCTCTGCCTCTCGGATTCAGGTGATTCTCCTGCCTCAGCCTCCTGAGTAGCTGGGATTGCAGGTGCCCGCTACCATACCTGGCTAATTTTTGTATTTTTAGTAGAGACAGGGTTTCACCACATTGGTCAGGTTGGTCTCAAACTCCTGACCTCAAATGATCCACCCGGATGGTGAGAGTTTTAATGTGTGTGGTTTTCGTTTTGTTTTTGTCATAAAAACTTGGCATGGTGGTTATCAGTCCCCCAATTTTCTCTGGAAATTGCAAAGGTCCCTGGGAGTGTGCTCAAGAATCCTTCAGATCCCATGCACCCAGGCTCAGCTGGGAGCCCAGAAAACAGGGAGGAGAGGCAGCCCCTGCCAGGAGCCAGCAGCCAGCAGCAACAGCAGTGGGGGTGGATGGCCCAGGGGCAGGTGAGCATGGTTCCAGATGCCTGCACTTTGGGTCCCAAAGGCCTGGCACTGGGAGAGTGTTCCCAGGCTGTCTGTGCCTCCTGCTGTCCCTGCCCCACCTGCTGAGGTGTCCCCAGAGGAGCTGGAACAGTGTGTTACAGCTCCCCAGGAAGTAAGGTCCCTGAGCACGCTGTGTTCTGGAGGCCAACGAAGGTGTGCCAGGCTCTGGCCAGTGGACCGTGGGTGCACACCTGCTCCAAGGCCCAGTGGCTTGGCAGGTCCCTGCCAGGAACAGCCACACTCAGCTCAGCTGGAAAGTCAGCCCAGCAGGCTCAGAGATGGCCAGGGACAACAGGAACTCACAGGAGAGCCCAGACCACTCCAGGGGCCTTGCAACAGGCCCCGAAGACCCAGGGATGGGGAGGAGGAACCTGGAGAGAGGGATGGCAGAAGCAGCACTTGGGAAACCGCTCAACCGGGGAGATAAAAGGTGAACACTGTGCTACACTCACAGCATTTTAAACCTTGCAGCTCCCAGCAACTCTGCCCTAATGAGAAGCAGGAAGAGCCGCGACAGGCAGGGAAGGGAGCTGCTTGGAGGCGAGGAGGATGGGAGGGCACAGAGCTTAACTAAGTCTTGTGCCCTGCCACCCTGGGAGCCATCCTGCCCCACGGAGACTCCCACAGAGGGTTTCCAAGCAGGGGAGAGCAACCAGAATTCACAGCCTGCATTTTGGGCTCTGGTGATACAGACTGGAATGCATCTAAGGGTGAGAGCCATGAGCTGGAAATGCGGGGTACAACTGTGGGGTGCGGCCACCGTACCTCGCATCATGCCGAAAATGTCCTGTAGTGGTTATAGCAGGACCCCTGCCTCACCCCATGCCCGGATATCTAGATCATGCAGCCGAGGAACAGCAGAGGGTCTCCTGGATGCTCTTCTTCACGGTGAGGCCAGCTTCATCAACTTCAGGGATGTCTAGGGCTGGATGTCATAACCACCTCATTAAATGTGTCTGCTTTTTCCAGCCTCATCCTCATCCCTAGCTCCAGCTCCAGGCCCAGGCTGCTTTTAACAAGACAGTGAAGAGTGGCAGTTAAAGGTCTGGCTGGCATCAGACAGTGCTGAATTCAGACACCAGCTGAGCTGAAAACGGCCTGGCTGGGTGACCTTGAGCAAGCAGCCTGCCCTCTCCGAGGCTCAGTTTATTTTCTGGAAGGGGGAAGACGGTGTCTACTTCCAACAACCGCCATGATGTTTCAGATTCAGCCCGAAGGGTGAGCAGCCAATAAACAGTGCCGAGAAAGGTCTCTGGCCTGCCAGGTAGAGAAATGACCTGATTCCTTCCAGAAGTTTCCAATGTTTCCAAGCCGATGAGGCTCCTGGGAGACGCCTCCAGATCTTGTAACGTTCAGGGAAGCATGGGCTCTGGTTGCATTAGGGAGGATTTATTTTATTTTTAAAGGAGTTGAGGCCACTTTGCAATCAGAGCCTTCATGGCTGGAGCAGGGAGAGCCGAGGAAGGGTATTAATCAAGGCGTTTTAAGGACATGCAAATCAGGAGAAAGCTCAAGTGATTAGGGTGTGATGGGGCCTGCAGTCCAGCCTGTATCCCCATCTGAGAAGAGACAGCTAGAGAGCCAGGCAAGGTGGCTCAGGCCCAGCTGGGGGCGGCAGCCAAGGGGCTGTCATGGGGCTGGGAGCAAGTGGAGGCGGAGGGAAGGGTCCCTGATGACTGCACTGTCCATGTGGTACTCTGGCTGGGTCCCCGCCTCCCCCACAGCTGCAGAGGCTGGGATAGGCCCCTCTTCCTAAGGATACGGAATGGCTGTTTGGGTGAAAGGGGCCCACTGGCACTGCTGGGGCGCGGGATGGGGAATGTGATGTCAGCGATCCGCGGGATCTTCGGGGTGACAGCCGTACCCCCTGCGTAGGACCCAGGGCTCCACATCTATAGACCTGACCTAAGGAAATATGCGGGCGTGTGCACAAGGATGCCATCTCAGGGACTGCGTATTAATAAAAAGCTGAATCAGTGTCCAGCAAGGCGGGTCGTTCGAGCTGGTTATGGGATGTGTTTACCATGGACTTTCAGGTCCTCCTGAGAAATGGCGACCTAGACGTGGGAAGATGGTTGCAATGTATTGTTCCTCAAAGGAGAAACAAAGCAGGTTGCAAAACACTGGGAACTGTCTGTCCATCTTCGAAAAGCCAGTCATACATCTAGAAAAATCTGGAAGGGTAGCCACAAAAACATCATCAGTAGGTACTTTGGAGAGGGTGGATTTCAGGTTATTGTTACTGTCCCCTTTCCTGTTAATTTTTGTGCAATGAACATATGTGTATTTGTAATCAATAAAGCCATCTTCTTTTCTCTTTGTAAAAAAGCTGCTCTCTTGCTTGGCCTCATACCTCCTCCAATCTCCTTAATACAAAATAAAAGATCCCAGTGGACCCTGAGAGAGACAGCCCCGCTGCCCTCTCAGAGGTCTCCTTGCTAGCACAGAGCAGGTCTCCACCACCCAAGGGGCAGGCAGACCAGGTATGGGGGGGTCACTGACAGACCCTCACCCTGCCCCATGCATTTTTTGGATGATACAGAAAAAAAAAAAAAGGTACACAATGATGATTCCATACAAGGTATTGGTATAGGTCCTATGTGGGTCCAAATTCCTTCTCCTAAGCCCCTAAGCCAGAGGCGTTAGGGACTCAGGTTGTTCCGTGTAGAAGTGTAAAACGATGCCTATAGTATAGATTAGGTTACACCTTAAGCAGGGCTGGGGCAGTCCCCATAATCAAACACGCTAATAGCTCTGCAGTGAAATGTACAAATGTTCACATCAAGGGGAATAAATAAAACTATAAATAACTTCCTGTCAACTGAGGTCAGGTTTCACCTCCAGATGAATTTACCACCATCTTAACAAAAGGACTTTGGTTTTTCAGACTTTTTGTTAATTGCAGAATTCCAGTTAGGGGATGGGGACCAGATGAGGATCAGGGCTCTCGGGCATGTTGGTTTGGCTGTCTCCCTGCAGGGTCTCCCCAGCAGTGGGGTGGCTCTGTGGGAGAGCCGCTTCCACAGTCACCCAGGGCCCCATACGTGGCTGACTGTTCTGTCGTCACCATCTTGAAATTCTCAACACTTGTAATTTTACCACCCTGAATTTTCCTTTTACACGGGGCCTGGCAAATCACATAGCCAGTCCTGCCAGCATCCAGAGCAAAGCCCAGCACAAGGCAGTTGCTGGATGGATGGATGAATGAATGAATGAATGAATGGTCATCCCGTTCCCTCTCCACTCAGCCCCTTCCTGATTTTCCACTATCCATCAGTGGAGACTCAACAGGGTTCCTGAGTGGCCTGCTCACCTGGAGAGAACGTGATTCCCGCACAGGTCCCTCGGGCACTCAGACCCAAAAGCAGGATTCCAGTGGGGACCTATGGGTTTCTAACTAACACCTCAAGTGATTTGGACACAGCTGGCATTGAAAAGCAGTTGTGGTTGTTTCAGAGGCCAGCTTGCTCTTCCTTCTTTTCTAGCTGTGTGACCTTAGGCAAGTTGCCAAACTTCTCAAACTTCCCCTTGAAATGGGCAAGGGGTCAACACTTACTCACCCTTAAACCCTAGCAGGCCATTTAGAAATGAGCCCCTTCCTGCCAGTCATCAAGGAGCACCCTGCGGAAGCTGGGCCCTGAGTCTATCCTGGTCCCTGTGCGTGCGCAGCACCCAGCCTGGGTCCAGGAGGGTGGAGGGCTCAGGTGCTGCCTCCTGCATGGGTGGATGGTGACGAAGGGCTTCGTGAGGACGGGGCAGGGTGGGTAGAGGGCTTCTGCGTGCTAGGCACGCAGTAGGTCCCACGTAAACAGAGCTGTCGCTGTTGGTGTCACACCATCCCCCTGGGGCTGTGGCCTCAGCTGCAGCACCTTACCCAGCACCGCCCAGCAGTGGGCGGCAGGTGAACCCTGCCAGGGACTAGAGGCCAATGGGGTGGAGGAGGAGGTGGCAGAAGGGGATGAAGGCAGGGGCCTGGTGGACGGAGTCCAGGCACGTCCTGATACCAATTAACGCAGCTTTGGCGCAGGGGGCCTTGGACGGCATTTATCAGCCCGCCGGGGAGGGGCCGGCAAGCTGTCCTCCGGCTGACGGATTAGACAGCGGACAATTAGGTTTCAGGCAGGCGCTCTCCCTCTCCCTCTTCTCTCTCTCTCCCTCTCTCTCTCTCTCTCTCACACACACACACACACACACACACACACACACTCCTTTCTCCATCAGTCTGCAAGGCCCAGCAACAGAGCCCAGCTGGGTCTGCTGAGTCCCCAGTGGTAGGAACAAAATAGACATAGGGCCCCCTCCCTGAGGGGAAGGGTCCTCAAAGAGAAGAAGGGAGCCCCAGGGACTTCCCCACCCAGAGCTCTGCCCGTGGGGATCACAGCTCAAGACCCCACAGTCTCAACCCCAAGCATCGCTTCCAACAGGACCAGGAGTGGGGGCGTTCATGAGAAGTTAACATGCAGGAGACAACGGAGATGGTGATTTCCAAAGCTGAGGACACGGACCTGGGCCAACTGGGGGTCTGTTCCTCCCCTGAGGAATGGACTCTCCCCTTCGCAATCAGAGCCTTTGATCTACGGGTCACAACAGGAGCAATGTGTGAGGCAAGGGCAGCGGCGTTGAGGAGCTTCTCAAAGCTGCAGGAAAAGTCCTCAAGATTCTAGAATGTTCGGCACTGCAGATGCTCTGGGATGAGTCAAGAATGCTAAGAGGGAAGGATGTCCCGAGCCCTGCTTTGGGAAACGCAGAATCAGGTGAGGCCCTCAGGCAGCTGGCACCCATGGCTGTAGGTTGTGTCTCCGTTCTGCTGCGAAGGCAGGCTCAACCTCTCCGAGGGGCTGCAGATGCTGTGGCCACCGGTGGCTGCAAGGCCTTCCCGCTAAGACCATCCCAGGCGCTGGACACTGGGCAGGCTCAAAGCTGAGCTCATCAACCTCCCCACACAGGCAAATGGCACCACTGTCACTCCAAAGCCCTGTCCAGAAAGCTGGATTTTGGCTTCATCTTTTTCTCTTCCTCACCTTTCACAGCCTTCACCGTCATCAACTCCTGTCCCTTGACCTCTAAGACAGCTTTCAAACCCACTCTCCTCCGGGTCCCCATGACCACCACCCTCACCCAGCCTGACCCCAGCCACCACATCTTGTCCAGATGCTTCCTCAGCTCCCAGCCTTTCCTCCTACTCCAGTTCCCCACGCAGCAGTAGAGGTGTCATCTAAAACCCCCCCAGTCTTGCCACACCCCTGCTTCAGAGTCCTCCTTGGTTCCCACTCCCGCCCACCTCAGGAGAAAGTCCCAGCACCTGACTGCAGCTTCCAGCTTTGTCTTCCCACCTATGCTGGGGTCACTGGCTTCATTCATTCTTCACACTCAGCAATGATCTTGTTTATTTATTTGGTCAGTTAGTTGATGTTAGCTCCCCTCCATCTTCCACCAGAACATCATTTGAAAGGACAGATCTTGGGCCGGGCGCGGTGGCTCAAGCCTGTAATCCCAGCACTTTTCGAGGCCAAGACGGGTGGATCATGAGGTCAGGAGATCGAGACCATCCTGGCTAACACGGTGAAACCCCGTCTCTACTAAAAAATACAAAAAAAACTAGCCAGGTGAGGTGGCGGGCGCCTGTAGTCTCAGCTACTCGGGAGGCTGAGGCAGGAGAATGGTGTGGACCTGGGAGGCGGAGCTTGCAGTGAGCTGAGATCCGGCCACTGCACTCCAGCCCGGGTGACAGAGCGAGACTCCGTCTCAAAAAAAAAAAAAAAGAAAGGACAGATCTCTTGTTTTTTTGAGACAAGGTCTCATTCTGTTGCCCAGACTGGAGTGCAGTGGTGTGATCATGGCTCACTGCAGCCTCTACCTCCTGGACTCAAGTGATCCTCCCACCTCAGCCTCTTTAGTAGCTGGGATTACAGCTATGTGACATCATGCCTGGCTAATTTTTTTAAAAATTTGGAGGGAGGCCAAGGTGGGCAAATCACCTGAGGTCAGGAGTTCGAAACCAGCCTGACCAGTATGGTGAAACTCTGTCTCTACTAAAAATACAAAAAATTAGCCAGGTGTGGTGGTGTACACTCATAATTCCATATACTTGGAAGGCTAAGGCAGGAGAATTGCATGAACCCAGGAGACAGAGGTTTCAGTGAACCAAGATCGTGCCACTGCACTCCAGCCTCGGCGACAGAGCGAGACTCTATGTCAAAAAAATTTTTCTTTTTTTTTTGAGATGAGTTCTCACCATGTCACCCAGGCTGGTATTGAACTCCTGGGCTCAAGCGATCCTCCCACCTCAGCCTCCCAAAGTGCTGGGATTATAGGCATGAACCACTGAGCCTGGCCCTGGCAGATCTCTTTTGCTCACCCTTGTCAGCATCTGTCACCTTGTTGGAACTCTCTGCACCTGTGGAGTGAGCGAGGACATGGGTCCCACCCTTCAGGCTTGTCCCTCGATGCTGTTCTCTCAGACTCCCCATGAGGACCACACCCCACGGCCGGCTCTTTCCTGAAGACCACACTTGTCTCGCTCTCCGTCCCAATGTCTGTGATGCACCCAGGCTCATCACGCCACCCTTTAGCTGCCAGCTCCTGCTCCCACCTCCAACCTCAGCAGAGAGGCCACTCCGTCCCGCACGTACCAGCTGGACCCATCCACCCTGCACAGCCACTGAGGCAGGGTGGCCAGCTCACTCATTGGGCTCTCCTACCCGACAGAGGCTTCCTGGGGCCACCTCCTTCACACTGCCAGGCACACAGTAGGTGCCCAATAAATATCTGTCTAACAAAGCTACTGAGCCCAGAACCCTGGCTCCAACCCCAGCACAGCTTCTACCTTCCTCTGGCCTGGGCTCCCATCTGCCTGGGCTCCCAGGGGCCGGGGGCCAGTGTGGATATGACCAGGTACCAAGCTGAGTGAAACAGACAGAAGGTGCTCTGGGGACACCTGTAACTGGGGACTTTGCACTGGAAAGGGGGGCAAAGGCTTCTGGAATGAGCTGGGCTTTGACGGGCAAGAGGACAGGCTGGGGAGAAAAAGAAGAGAATCTTAATTTAGTTTTATTTTTTTAGAGACAGGGTCTGTGTATGTTGCCCAAGCTGGTCTCCAACTCCAGGCCTCAATGGATCCTCCTGCCTCAGCCTTCTGAGTAGCCTGGATTACGGCGTGGGTCACCACATCTGGCTCTAAAGAGCAGACTCTTACATTAATTAATGAACAGTTGCATGCCGGACACTGTGTCTGGCACTTTATACAGGTTCACGTGTTCAATTCCTGTGACAGTCTTTTGAATAAAGGTTTACCTCCACTTCCCAGAAGAAGGGCGGCTGCAGAGGCA